CTGCAGTGGGACAAAGGGGGACCAGAAGTACGTGCACGCTGGCGCACGGCTCCCTCAGCCCAGCCCCTCCCCCCGTGAGAGGCGGCGGGGACCCGGTGGTGGCTGAGGGGACAGTCTACAGAGCCAGCAACCTGGCTTTCCCTCCGGCGCAGCCACCTTGGGAACTACTCGACCCGGCTTAACGGGGGAGGGTTGTCTGTGTGGGGACAGTGCCTAGAATAGTGCCTGTGTTCGTCATTGTGACCTTGAGTTTTGATTTCCTCATCCACATGCTTCAAGGGTTACTTAGGAGATTAAATGAGATGATAATGGTGAGGTGCTCGGCACGGTGCCTGGCACATGGCTGAACTCGATAAAAATCATTTTATTATTCATTTACTGAGGCCAGTTTGCTGGCCTCTGGCGTGAGATATACCCCCTGCAAGCTTCCTGGTGCCAGCAATTCTGGCTGTGTCTCCAGAGCCTGCTAGAGCCTTTCCACACCTCGGCCTTGTCCCCCACCGCCCTCCGGAGGGTCAGGCCCCTCGCTGTGAGGTGGTTCCCTGGGCCTGGGCTCGGATTTTTCCAGCACAGAAGGAGCAGCAGTGGTCTGAATGGCCGTGAAACTGTTTAGTCACCCACCCTCACGGGTCTGAGAAGCGTGCCTCTGCCCGCCCTCCGCTGTCTTTGCAAACCCTCCAGCTCCCTCCCCCAGAGACCCCCTGGGCATATCTGGGGGTGTCAGACCCACCGTTACTGCTCGTCCTGCTTTGCTGCTCCCTGCCCCCTATCCATGGCCATTCAGAGGTTGAGTGGGAAGTCAGATAAAGAGATCCCCAAGACGGTCGCCACCTGCCCCCCCTGCCCCCCGCCGGACCCTCTCTCTCCGGCTCTGGCTCTTCCATCTCGGCACCCAGGCCCCTAATCAATGCATTCCACTCGAAGTTTCTGTCTCCCAGAAGGCTCTCTCCATGGCAATTGATCCCGCCTGTCGTGAGGAATTATACTTGCTGTTGTCAGAACTGCCCCTGTACCAGGGCGGAAGGAAGCCTTTTGCAGGCTGGCAAGCTAGAGAGAACCCACACAATGGTCCCCGGTGCCCCTCTGACTGCCCCTCCTCCTTCAGTCTTCCTACAGTTGCTCGTTGGGCTGGTGTGAGGATGCCATGCTTGTGTAGACGGAACCAGATGTTGCAGTCAGAGCTGCACCTGGACTGTAAACCCAGGAGCTAAGCCACGTCAGAATCGCCCAGCACAGATTCCAGGGCTGAGGAGAGGAGCCTCAGTGCTCTCCCCACCTCTGCGGCCCACTCAGGACGGGCAGGGGAGGGACGGGCATCCCTGGGGCCTGCCGTCCCCTCCTGGGACGGGGCTTGGCTGCCGCGCCTGGCAGGAAAAGCAGGCTTGCAGTGTCCACACAGAACCGCCTCTGTGTGAGCACTGTGCCTCCTTGTGAGGCCTCCCGGTCCACACATCTGCCGCCTGCACACAGCAGGGCCGTGTTCCCGCCGGGAGGGACCCTGTTCCTACAGCGGGCGCGGGGAGCGGGCGGCACCGCTTGGGCGGAGGGGGCCAGACAGACTCCCGTGTGCCTGAGTCACCATTTCTCTCTGGGGCCCGGGAGCCTCCCTCACTGCCTCTGAAGACCTTCCATGTGCCAGGCACTGTTTAGAGGCTGGAGCCACAGCAGCCCCAGAGAGGCGGAACCACTCCCCCGCCGTGGCGTAGACATGGGCTGGGAGTGGGGGGAGGACAATAGACAAATAAGGAAGACACTGTTGGGTGCTGACCACACCAGATCCCGGGGCGGAGGGGAGGAGCCTCAGTGCTCTCCCCCCCTCTGCGGCCCACTCAGGACGGGCAGGGGAGGGACGGGCATCCCTGGGGCCTGCCGTCCCCTCCTGGGACGGGGCTTGGCTGCCGCGCCTGGCAGGAAAAGCAGGCTTGTGCAGTGTCCACAGAACCGCCTCTGTGTGAGCACTGTGCCTCCTTGTGAGGCCTCCCGGTCCACACATCTGCCGCCTGCACACAGCAGGGCCGTGTTCCCGCCGGGAGGGACCCTGTTCCTACAGCGGGCGCGGGGAGCGGGCGGCACCGCTTGGGCGGAGGGGGCCAGACAGACTCCCGTGTGCCTGAGTCACCATTTCTCTCTGGGGCCCGGGAGCCTCCCTCACTGCCTCTGAAGACCTTCCATGTGCCAGGCACTGTTTAGAGGCTGGAGCCACAGCAGCCCCAGAGAGGCGGAACCACTCCCCCGCCGTGGCGTAGACATGGGCTGGGAGTGGGGGGAGGACAATAGACAAATAAGGAAGACACTGTTGGGTGCTGACCACACGGAGAAGCATAAATCGGCAGATTTAAATAGAGTGGCGGCAGGGAGGGGACAGGTGAGCAGATTCCCCAGAGGGGAGGGGCAGGCACTCTTTCTGGGGGTCCAGGGCCCAGCCATGAGGGCGCTCCGTATACATTTGGACTGACGGTGAAGTAAAAGCCTGTGCCCAGCGGCCTCTGGGGAAGGCTGCGCGGTGGGAATGCTTACCCTGGGCCGCCAGCCCCACCAGCCCATCCCTTCAGGGCGTCTCTGCTTCTGCTCTCCAGCTGCAGGCCCTGGTGGGGAGGGGGGTCAGCACGCCCCTCGTGGGCATCTGCGGAGGACAGAGCACTTGCTGGGACTGCAGGTGGCATCTTTGCATCCCCGGCCGCCTGGGTAGCTTGCTCTGCCTGTGTGACTTTGGCTGTGCTCTGTTCTTGCCTGGGATCTTCTGAACAGGTGGCAGTCGTCAGAGCCAGCTCAAGTGTCAGGGCAGCTGGGGGATGGGGTTACACCCCCGCCCCACCCCGAGACAGGCACTCGCAGCTTATGGGCTGGTGTCTCTTCCCAGCTCTGTACCTGTACTGGAGGGAGGTGACTGGGAGCTGGATAACAGAATCATTCAGGACACAGCCGGACCTGCCTTTGCCCTTATTAGCTGTACGGACTTGATACCCCAACTCCCTGAGCCTCAGTTTCCTCATCAGGAAAGTGGGGCCACGCCCACTTGCTAGGGTTGCTGCTGGGAGCGTGTTGCCTGTGCCTGGCGCAGGGGAGCAAGCGCCCGGGAATTGCTGATTGTCGATTGTTGTCCTCATTGCTGCTGCTGTGGGCAGAGTTCTGCCTGGCGGGGCGTGATGTTCGCGGGGCCGGGAACGGTACACTTGGGGTCCGGCCTCTCTCACGGTGATGCCTGTGGAGGGAAGGCAGGTGCTGGGGCCTCCGGGAGGCCGAGTTGGCAGAGGATTGGCAAACACGGAACAGATGGTGAGGGAGCCCTCGTGTCTGGCTCGCTGAGGCTTGGAGTGTAAGAGGTGCCAGAGCCTGTCTGCGTTCCTCTCAGGACCCCGGTACAGCCTTGATGCTGGGAGAGTTGTCCGTGTCCCAGGGGCCCAGTGTGCTGCGTGCTGCAGACCCGCTCTCCCCGAGCCCCGGGGAATGGCCACAGTGGGCGCTGTGTGTGAAAGGAGGTCAGCCAGCCTTGCTGGGGTGGGTGTGAGGGGCTAGCCCAGCCCCCAGCAGCTCCTAGGTCTGTGAGTCTGAGCAGAAAGCACGGCCATGGCTCTCAGGGGGTTGCTTTTCTTACAGAGGAAATCTCACTGCTTTGCAAAGCAGGACCACAGTAGGGTCACGGTAGACTGTAGATGAGAGAAGTCGCCTCCTTGCCCAGCAGGGGCAGTTAATATTGTTCCCAGGCCAGAGGTGGAGAGCACAGAGCCCTCTGGGTTAAAAAGAAAGAAAGCTCTTGCTGCCCCTCGGGGCTTCCTCTCCGCCCTGTCCCGCTTCTGCCACTGCTGGGCCTGCTGTGGACAAGTCCACGCAGGGCCGGGCTGCAGGGTGAGTGCACAGCTTGCCCTGCTCAGCGAGCTCCCTGGACGGCCTGGGGCAGTGTGGGCCCTGGTGGAGGACCTGTGGGAGACGTGGGAGAATCAGCTGACCTGGAGAGGAGTCTGCACTGGTCAGGGACCTCATCCTGTCCCTCTCACCAATGGCACCGGCAGCTCTTCTCATTCGGTCCACAAGCACAGATGCCCCCAGCTCGGGGCTGGGTGGGTGGACAGAGGCTTACAAGACCTGCCGCCAGGTACAGAATTAAAACATATCCATAAGTAAACCCAGGGCCGGTGGTGGTTCCTGGGTGACTGGGATGGGGGTGACAGTAAGTGCCCCGAGCCTGTGTGAGGGAGCAGTCACATCCAGGAAGACTTCTCGGAAGAGGTGGTGTTGAACTAAGGGGGACGAGACAAGACTCCAGCAGCTGGAGGTGGGAGGGGACCTGCATCGAGGATGAGTTTGCCGCTTGCTCAGGGCCTGAGTGATAGCAGCATGTGTGCTAAGCGGGTCCCCCTTCCTGCCACCCCTGGTGGGGCTGCGGTCACTGTTTGTGTCGGTGGGGGTGGGAGCTGAGTCAGGATTCGTCCAGGATGCATGTGGACAGGCGATGGGACCTGGTTTATCCTGGTTTTCCACAACATGGCTGTGAGGCCTCATGTCTCCAGGCCGTGCCCCGTGGTAAAGTAGGGGTGACGTGCATGTTTTGGTGGAGTGCAAGAGGGCTCAGGCCACAGCAGCCTCTCCCAGAGGAGAGACCCGATGGAGGATGTCCTGCGGGGACTGGCGGCTCCCCTGGGGCCCAGGGGCTACGCCTTCTGAGGAAAAGGAATCACACGCAGCTTTCAGATCAGAGTTGCTCTCCTGCAGCACAAGCCGGCTTTCGTCTTTACCTCCCAGGCCTCTGGAAGCTCTGTGTGGTTGTGGCATCGGGTATTAGCTGCAGTTTGAGCTGCACATGTCACGTGAAGAAGGGCCTTGAGTGGTCTGGTTTGCTTAGGTTAGAGAATTTCTATTTTTCCCTTATCTCTACTCTCGCCTTTAACCGGCTGGAAGGATCAGTCCCGACTGTGTGTCTCCCCACTTCCCCCTTTGGGTGGTCTCTCCCAGGAAGCCTGCCGGGTGGGTTTCTGACCTCTGCCTCCTCTGTTCCCTCCCAGGCCATCAGCATCAGCAAAGCCATCAACACCCAGGAGGCCCCCGTGAAGGAGAAGCATGCCCGGCGTATCCTCCCTGCTGCCAGCGGCCTGCGTCCCTCTGGGCCCCAGGGGAGGCGGGGAGGGTGAAGAGGACGTGGGGGAAGTGAATTAGGGGAGCAGTGGGCGCACCAGATGGCCTGATGAGGGGCGTCCCCCTGTGGCCTTGGGCCAGCATCGCTCAGCTCCTTCCAGACTCTGAGTCCCATCTCAGGAAGGCCACCTATTGTCTTAGGCCATTGGGCCCAGCTAAATTCGTGGGGCATGAGCTTGCCCTTTCTCTTGCTTGCCTGAGAGCCGTAGCTCTTGGTGAGCTGTGGCCGAAGCGGAGGGAGGGGTGTGGGGAGGGGGCAGGGCAGCCTTCCACCTGCCTCTCTGCGCTCAGTCACCTGTTCAGCTGCACCTGCTGAGCACCGGACCTCCCCAACGCTTGAGTCCCTGCTGCCTGCATTTGGCCTTGACCCTGGTAGGCATCATCCTGGGCACTCACCACGAGAAGGGGGCCTTCACCTTCTGGTCCTATGCCATCGGGCTGCCGCTTCCCAGCAGCTCCATCCTCAGCTGGAAGTTCTGCCACGTCCTCCACAAGGTCCTTCGAGACGGGCACCCCAACGTGAGT